TTTTTAATAATAATAATAGTAATAATAATAATAATAATAATAATAATAATAATAATAATAATAATAATAATAATAATAATAATAATAATAATAATAATGATAATAACAATAACAATAATAATAATAATAATGGAAACTTTATTAATCAATTTTTTTAAGTTATACGGTATACAATTGTAAATCTCACTTATATAAGGTAATTCACAACCGTCTACTTGAATCAATAATAACTATACATTCACAATATAACAATAATAACAAACAACAAAAATATAGTACAATTTTTAAAAGGTTAATAGTTCCGGATTTGTTCAATCTTTGTTTCTGCAGCAAAATATATAGTAAGTTGTTCTGATCGCAATCGTCGTCATTCGTTTAAAGCAGTATTTTTGGTGTTTTTTTATCGAAGCCAAGATCATTAAGCTTGTCCATGAAAGTCAAGCATTCTTTTGCTAAAACTCCAAGACTGCTAATTGAAATATATATAAATTTGACCTTCTCGTAATACTCGCTTGGTTCCTTGATCAATTCTGCGTATTTGGCCTTTTAATTAATAACAATAACAATAACAATAACAATAACAGTAACAGTAACAGTAACAGTAACAGTAACAGTAACAGTAACAGTAACAGTAACAGTAACAGTAACAGTAACAGTAACAGTAACAGTAACAGTAAAAGTAACAGTAACAGTAACAGTAACAGTAACAGTAACAGTAACAGTAACAGTAACAATAACAATAACAATAACAATAACAATAACAATAACAATAACAATAACAGTAACAGTAACAGCAAAAATAACAATAACAATAACAATAACAATAACAATAACAATAACAATAACAATTATAATATTCTCGAACTCAACGGTTTTATTCAATCTTAATACAATATACAATTTAAGCTTTCACTCAGTCACGCCATCTTGAATCTCTCCAGTCCCCCGTCTCTACCCCGTACATCACATCTCCCCTTTTCTTTATGGACCAAACGTAACTCAAACAATCATAAATAACCAATTAATTTTAACCTAAGAAGTTTTTAAGTGTTTCCCGATACTATACTAAAATACCATAAATGTTCTTACTTATCGGGTACTGTTTTTCAGTAA